TGTCCTGGAAATCGGAGTGGCTGGCGTGTCCAAGGCTCCGAAGGGGCATGGGCAGGGTGCAGGCAGCCTGGGCGGAGGCAGCAAGCCCGAGCGCTTCGTGCTGCGGATGGAAAATGGTTCTGTCAGCCTTGTGTAAAAGCAGCTTACACGGGAGGGTGTTTCGTTCGAGCAAAGTTCAGAGTGGTGGCGTGGCTTGGGCATGGGCGACGGGGGGGAAGACCCCGACCCCGGCAGAGCTGGCCTCTCCCCGGGCTTGAGTCAGGCGGGCAGGAACGATTCCCGTTCAGACCCCGCGCTGCCGGCCTGCCTCCGGTAACCCATGGCGCCGAGTGAGACCTGGGGTGACCAAAACCTGATGAGCCTCTTAAAATTACAGCAAGGACCCTTCTGCCCGTGTTACGAGCCAGGAGCCATCCCTTGTTGGCTCTGCACCACCGTCAGAGTTCACCTTTGCGGTGCTCAGACAGGCTGAGATTGATGCTGCTGCCAGTTGCCAGCTCACGTTTGGTATTTCCCCGTAGATCGGAGATGGGAAGGGTAAGGCGAGGCTCGTTCTGCGCCAGGCGTGAGGCTGCTTGAATCGACACTCCAGAGACTCTGCTCAAGAAGCAGTTGGAGGGGAGATGGGTTCCTCCATGCCCGCACGTGGAGCTCTGGTGCTTGGTGTGGTGCAGCGAGGCGCGTGGGGTGGCACGGACGGTGGGGTGCTTGGAGAGCTGCCTGGCCAGCCAGGCGCTCGGCAGATTGAGCTGGTCTTGGACGCTGGGTTACTTGCCAGCTTGCAGATGCTCTTCAGGACACTGCAGGTCTTGATTTATCATTACATTCTTGAAGCCACAACCCTTAATCCCTCTTTCTGTGACAGCAGAAGGAGGAACCAGAAGGTCCTTGGAGACTTTTAGTGACTGCCTTCGGGTTGTGTGATCTGGTGCTACATAGTGAGTAACAGCAGAGACTGCTGCTCTCCGTGTGGAGATGGGCCAGCAGCAGCTCTGGTTTTGAGCTGTGCTTTCTGCGTTATCCTTGTTACGTTCCAGAGACTGGCCGGGGCATCCTCAGCCTCCTGCGAGGAGCAGGGCCTGGGGCCGGACCCTCCAGGCGCTTTGGAGCTGCCCTGTTTCCAGTTCCGCTCCACTCTCGTTAATTAGCGTTCCACCACAA